CGTTGGTCTAACCTCAAGCTTTCAAACGCCGGTTAAGATGCTTCAATATCATTCTTGGTTCAAGAAATATTCATATGTGTTGAAGGTGATAAAAGTGAAAAATAAAAAAAAATTTTAACCGTCTCCATTTCCCAAACAACGGTTCGGTGGAGCAAAACATATATACCATTTCGAAGCAACATGAGCTTGTGCATCATACTGTATCCCCTTTTTTTCAATTTCCATGAATTTTCTCTATTTAAACAAATATTAAACGGACCGTACGCTCAATTTTGTCCAGCACAAAAATGATATTCATCTACATTTTTCAATAAAAATCACAAAATCCAAAGAAAAAATTCAAAATTCTCTCGGTTACTATTAGTTCACATAATTACGCAACAAACAGTGCAAAGAATTGATTGAAAAAAATAAATTAGGTTCATGAAATAGTCCGCGATACATTTTTCTGGCAGTCGTACGCTCAATTTAGTCCATGACTGTACATCTTTGGTTTCATTTTTTCTTTTCGGTTTTCGTTTATTTCTCTTCCTATTCCTCTCCGCTGTTAGTTTACTCGCATAAAATGGCAAGAGCCACGAGCCTATGAAAAAACAAAACCAAACTACAAATCACATAGATGCACGCGTGAAAATATATTACCATAAAATCATATGCGAGCGTATACGCGAATAAAAATAATAAATACAACAACAATAGCAGCAAATGAAAAAAATCAAATCAAATAAAATGAAATAGAAGCAACAGTAAAGTAGTTATACAAATCAAAGAGATAGAAAGAGTGAAGAGTACCGAATAATCGGGCCCGAAGAGCGGTGCGCACAGCTGAACGGCCCGTGTATGTATGGGTGCAAATGTGTATTGAAAACAGCCGTTTGTGAACGGCGTTTGTATTTCGTTTCTTCTTCTCTCTCTCTTCAAACAGAGGTATTTTGCATTAGGACAGTGCTGTTTTGGATCGGCTTGAGTGTGATGCGATGCGATATATTTTGAATGTATGCGTGTGTCTTTCTGGCTGCGAGTGTGTATATTATGTGTGTGAGTGAGGCAATCTTTATGTACAACATTTTGGGACTACACGAGTTACTTTTGACAGAACTGTTGAAGCAGTCGTTTTTGTTGTACATTTCATATACCGTGTATACCTAAATAAAATAGTCACTACAACAAATTCAGCCTGTGAAATAAGAATACACGAATAACAACAGCGGCACAGAGAGTGAGAGCAACAGCAGAAGAAGAAGAAATGAAGAATTAATTATTATTATTTTTCGAAAGAAAAAAAATACATTTTATTGCCTAGAAATTCGTTGACAACGTTGCCGAGTGTTGTGTTTGATTTTTGGGTAAATTTCACTTGAGTAAATGTTCAAGACTTACGCGAGCCAGGACAAATTCAATCAATCGATTTCATTAAGTGAAACCAACTAATTCATTGAAGTTCTCTTTCTCTTTCGCCGAATCACTTTTTATCGGTTAATTTTATCTATTTTGCCAAAAAAAAAATGATGTATAAATAAAATAAACTAAACTCACCGAGTTCGCGGCGTTTGTTCATTTATCTACGGAGTCAAAGCCATCATAAATAAAACCGAAGAACGAAAATATTATTATCGATAAAATTGAAAATCGACTTTCCGATCGTGTATGTTCAAAGTTCCTGACTCGGTTATATATGTATTTTTGTCGTTCCACTCTTATGCTCTTTCTATCTCTTTTCTTTCTGTTTTAGTTCAGCTTTGGTGCGACAACAACTGGTTGAATGTAAATGAAGCAGCAGCCATAAAAAAAATTTATAAGTCAAAGTTAAATATTATTGTAAATACTATTAAAAATAAACGACCGGTGAAAAACAAGAATTATTCGAAAATTTTGACGACAACAACAACAACACCGACACTTAAAGTGAGTGTGTGAAACAGAGAAAGAGAGAGAGAGAGACAAGCCGAAAAAAAAGAAAAAAAAAGACGAACGGGGACGGAACAAAATGCTGATCGCGTGCAAGTGCCTAAATATTACGCTTAAGTCGACGGCCAATAATTTGCCCGTCGCAATGCCAGTAGCAGCATCGATATCCAATTACGATGATATCGCATATAAAACGAATACACCGAATGCAAATCAAGCCCATACGGTTTCATCATCATTAACTGCAACAACACCACCATCGTCAGCGGTCAATCGACGCGATAATTTAGAGGACAATCACAACAACGCTGAAGAACAACAACCACCGTACATTCAATGTTCCACGGCCGAAAATCTCGATAGCAACCAATTGCAATTTTTCCGCACGGTAAATATACACCAACTATAGATATAGACATATGCATTTAGTATTTATGAAAAAAAAGCATTATGTGTGATATAAATCAATTAAATTCGTGTTGATTTTGTTGTTCCTGGTTTGTGTGTCGGCTCATTGGCTGGCTGGCTGGCTGGCCCGATTGTCATGTTTAGCGTACGCGGGCGCGCGCACGATCGCACTCAGCTCCATCGGTCGGTCGGTCGGTCGAGATCGGTCATGTGTGTAGATTGTGTGAAGCGCGATTATTAACAATTGCAAATTGTGTGTACTTTTGATAAATACAATCGTTTAGTGGCCAATGCTCGACAATGTTTCCAATGTAATGATGCAATCGCGTATGTCTGTGTATGTGCGTACAGTACGTACGTGTGTCTCACAATCAAAATAATTTGTTTTAATGACTTCACTGTAGTCAAGAACTTCTCTTTGCCTTGTTTTTGTGTTTTCATTCGCGTTGCCTTTCTTCGTCGTTGTTGTGGTGCGTATGTGCCCTACAGTAGTGCAGACTTATTGTAAAATTGAGCTCCAGAGCTCCACACACCGAATGTACTCATTGAAATTGCTCTCTATTGCCCTCTCGCTGTGTGTTTATTGCACAAAAGATTCTATCGGGCGCGTCCTGAGCGACTCAAAATGATGCGATTTCTGCTAATCATCTGTGCAACGTTTGTTGGTTTGTTGCTGTTGCTCTTTTTTCTCTCTTCTGCACTTTTTTTTCTATATTCATTGCAGTGTTTTGTTGTTTGTGCTCGCCGGATCGTCAGTTTCACATTATATTCCTACGTGCCTCGATGCTCGTGTAATGTTCTGCAATTGCTTCATATGCAACTCTTTTTTTTCTTTCTTTACTGTTCCTATATTCGCCATTTGGCTTTGGTTTGCTTGCTTTCATAGCGGCGCAAAAATAACAAAATGAATAGAGAAAAAAAACAGACACACACAGCAATAGCAAATCCAACAAACAACTCGACGATCCGTGCAATCCGCTGTTTCTATATCATAAAATGCATTTTAATAAATTCTAATAAATGTGAGAGCACTATACCAACTGTGCACCGTCAAGCAGCAGCAAACGTTAGTTCTAATTGGTTGTGAACAACAACAGCAACGATGAAAATGACGAAAATAAAAACAACAACAAATTCAAAGAGATACACTAACGAACAGGAGAGTTAGTTAGATAGCCACAGAGACATACAGAAGACAGAGAACAGTAGAAAAGAAAGACAACAGCGAAGCGGCTTCGAGAAAAAAAAACAACACCGCCAAGTCAGATAGATAGATATATTAATTCTATATCATGAACGCGTGATATGTATAAACGATTAACGTAACGCCTACAAAACCACTTCATTGTGACGACTGTAAAAATGTGAAAAACAAGAAGTCAACTTTATGAATATACTTTGAAATATTTATTTTTTGTTGCTCGTTTGTTCGCTTACTTTTCTTAAGAAAGGATAGGAAGAAACAGTCTTAACGATACATGTTTTAATGAGCGGCAGAGTAAGTGAGGCAGAGAGAGAGAGAGTGAGAGAGAGAAAGAGAGAGAGAGAGAAAGAAAAAAGCAAAGACAACGCGACGTAAGAATGATACAAAACAAATAACCAAGATATTAAATGGCATTTATTAGAAGAGCAGCGTTCTGTCATGGCCCGTTCACGGCTCACATCTCTCTTCACTCAATGTCTGTCTCTTTCTCTCTGTGTCTCGGGTGCTCGTTCACATCAAGACTCCTATTGGAAAAGATTAGGTGACTCGCGAGCACGGTTTGATGAACGAAAAACTATTTTTTGATTATGAAAACTTATTGATTGGCAACGAATCAACTTTAAGCGAGCTTTGATTTCAGTTCGGGCACGTCTCTCTCTCTCTCTCTCTCTCTCTCTCTCTCTCTCTCTCTCTCTCTCTCTCTCTGTGTGTGTGTGTTTGTGTGTGTGTGTGTGTGTGTGTAGTTCGGCTTCGGCAAGCGCAATCAAGCAAATCGGCCGAATCGCCGCCGTGCAAATCAAAATCTATTCAACGGGAAAAAACAGTTGTTGTTCATAATTTTGTTGTTGTTATTGTGTAGTGTTGACTTCCTTTTTTTTCGGTTTTATTCATTCAGTCTTTGAACATCGATTAAATCTCTTTACATCGTTTCGAAATCTATTTTCTTATCGTTACGCGTTATTTTTTCTTTAATAATTTTTTTTTTTATTTTCTACATTTTGAGCTGTTCATTCGCTTTCAAATATAAATATCGCTGTTTATGGCGTAAAATCACACACTCTCGGTGTGCTCATGGGTAATAAAAATGAGCACTTTTGATTCAATCGATAGACATATTCGTAGATGATTTTTTTCGATATTATTGTTGTTGCCTCTTTCAGCTGTGTTTTTTTTTGGTTTCGAAAATTGATTAAACATTTCTGATTGTTGTATGTTCGATGGTTTGTCTTCATTCCATTTATTCGGTGTTTTTTTTTTCATCCTCTTTTTGCATAGGCCAAACTATCAACCGCATCTCTGATTGCACCAGCGATTCAACATACGAATTTGATCGGCGTGACGCTGATTGAAAATTGGAATTTGCACACCTGCCGTCACTGTAAAACTATTACTCATGCCCAGACCAATGATTCGGCAAAAACACTGATCAATCCATCGTTATGGGTAAGCGATATTCAATTTCATTGGCCAAATGCCATCACTATGCAGTCAATTTTTAGAACTTTTTTCCCCCACGATTGACGTTAAACCATTTTTCTGTTTATTTATTTTTTTTTTGCGGTGTTTCACTCTCATTTCAGACCAACCAAGAGAAAATCAACATAATTAAAACGCAGAAAAACTTCTCTAAGTCATTTAATATTTTGCTGAGCCCAATTACCACCGACATTGACAGCAGCATGATTGATGCAACGAGCAACGCTAAAACCTTACAAAATGGTAACGATCGAGCCAAACAACTCAGACAATATCTCAATAATGTTATTCAATCGGAAACGGAAGACACCGAAACGCGCATCCAACGATTTAGCACGCAACAAATGTCCGCACTTAAAGCATTTCGTCAAAAGGCCGAACAAGATTATCGAGACATTTTACGGTGAGTTGAAGATGCACAACGGTGCGTTTATAAAGTAAAATGAGCCTTTGAAAAGTGTGTGAGAGTTTATATTTACGGGAAAATTCCATAAAATTTCATTTGAATTCACATTGTTTGAAGACGAAATTCAGCTGATGAATTGTGTCAACAAATATGTCTATCGGTTCAAATGGCATATACCTGAGGTGAATCAACTTAAATTAATATTCAGGCAAAAAAGAAAAAATTCCGTCTTTTAATTTAAATTTTTTTTCTGGATGCTTCCTAAATGGGAGAATTTGGCACGTGGGATAATTTGGCACGTGGAAGAATTTTTTTTTTCTTCTCAACCATATGCTATGAAACTCTCACGACTTTTACTTTCTTGACTCAATAGTATTTTTTCTCTTGATTCAAATTTTAATCAAAATAAATGAATAACCGTTTCTTTTTTTTTCATGTTTTCATTTTTTGCTTTGGAACAGGGCAATTGAGGACGATGTGTCAATTAAAGGCATCAACGAGTCGAGCAACGATGCAACGTTGATGAGTAATTTAAGTGCAAATTCAAAATTACTATCCGATTTGACACCGCCAGTTACACCGGATAGCACCCCCATGAGCATCGGCAACAGTCCAAACTTCAAACAACAGCCCCAATCGTTTATGTTACTCAATCAAAGTTTAGTCACCAAAAAACACGTACGTATTTCATAAACACAGGTTTTGACATCGCAGTTTTTTTTCTCTGCTTTTATCACTTAAAATTTCAACAAGTTTTGCTTATCGGGCTGTTTTTGTTTTTTTTTTTTTCGTTCGCTGTCGTTTTTCGTTCTGTTTCCTTGTCTATTGTTTGTGTGCGGGCAAGCAGGCAACGAAAATCAAACATTCCACACCAGACAAAGTGTCGCAACGGAACTCAAACATTGACGACGATATTTTCTTTGATATGGACGGTTTGGATACGCGCGACAGTAATATGCCAGAAGTGACGCAATCGGATGATGAAGATGTCGATGATGAAGACTTTGGTATGATCAACATGGGTGTGAATTGTGTTCAATTGAGTGATAACTCTCTTTGCTTTTTTTTGTAATTATTTGCAGAAGATTCATATGTTGGCCGAAATGGTGGAATCAAAATCACACCAACCATTCGTAAAAGTGGCTCAAAGATGTTCGTTGCCCAAAGTCTTCCGATGGCTGTGCCGATCTTCAATCAACGCAACGAAGACGATTATGAAGAGGTAAGAAAATGATCATGAAAAAATTTCGGTTTTTTTTGTCTTTCAATTTTAGTCTGTAATGATGTTATATTATATAACACAATTTATTTATATAACACAATGGGCTTTTTTCTTGCTCTGTTGTTTTTTTCTCTTAATTTTTCATTCAAAAATATCTTTGTTTGACAACAATGACGAATTTCATTAAAATTCATCATTGATTTACATCACAATTTACCTATTGATTAAGATAATTCCTAAAAAAACATCAATAAAAATTGGCAAAATAAATTAGCCAATCAAACTGTTGTTAATCAATTAATTATTTATTGTTTAATTAGACTAAAAAAGTCGTCTCATTTTTCTTCTTCTCACCATTTCAGTACCCAGATCGACAAAATAACGTTGACATCGCAGCGAGTATAAAGGCGTTAGCTCAGAGTGTGCATGGTGAGGCGATTTTCGGTGATTTGCCCAAGCCTCGATTCAGTACACAAATCTAGTGCTTCAACAATCAACAAATACAATTGTCATTTTTTTTTAACAAATTCTTTTTTCTAATCGATATAAAAACAAAACAAAATACAAACAATTTTTTTTCTAGATAAATAAGATGAGAAAAAAACGTTCATTCTAAAAACAAAACCCCATTTTTTCACATATATTCTCACGAAAACATATAAATGTAATGAATGTTGAAGTAAACGAAAACAAATTCGCTGGTTGTTCGATATAGAGATTCCTATTTTATCATATGGATCATACAATTTACCTATAAAATGCTATACCTAACGAGATAAACGAGAGCGGCCGGACTCAAGTGGCTCTCGATTCGTCGCAATGATGCAATAGAATCGAAGAGAAAAACAGTTTTTTCACCCCAAATTTATGTTCATTGTAGACGACAAAGAAAATGAAAAAAAATGTCGATAGGCAGGAGCTTGAGTTGAATGTATTTTTTTTTTAAATAAAGAGTATATTTTGTTAAGAATAGTCGCTAAAAATGACAGACATGAATTCAAATGAAAGAAACATGAAAAGAGCGAAACAAAATGTTATGTAGCGACAGAAACAAGTTCAAAAATAAATAAAAACGACGTTTGCCATGTTAAAAAGTACACACACGACGAAACAAAAACAAAAACAGAGTTCAATTGAATCAAACAAATATTTTGTATAGAAATGAAAAAGAAATAGAAAATGTCCAAGAAATGAAATCATTGAATCGATTTAGTTGTTGATTTTTTAAATCCCATAAAGCTGATGCACCAAACCAGCTCGGCCTCCTCCAAATACAACACTTTATGCCGGAATCAAACAGCCAATTCGATAGTAGATTTTTTTATATTATTTTTCTTTTTGCGGGTGAACGCGAGTTTTCGTGCACTAAACATTTTTTTTATAAATGAAGTCATATTTTCCATGTAAAAAAAAACACATACGAACAAATAAAGCTGATTCATACGGCTGAAAAAAAATGTACAAAAAAAAAATTGAAACAAAAATCCGTTTGTTTTATTTATTTCTTTATTTAAAAAAAATGAGATTGAGAAAAATCATTAATATTTATACATTGGAAATTTCAACACGATCAATACTGCGGCCTAAACTCAAAAAAAAATGATAAAAAGAATTCGAAAATGAAATGAAGAAGAGAAAAAAAAATGCTTTTTTTCTCTCGTAAATTCGAAATAGAAAACTCGGTGTGAAAATGGAAATTCAGTAAATCGGTGAACACCAAAAAAAAAGAACAAAAATATTCAATGCATTGAATACAAGTTTAAAATCTCTCTATCTCACGCTCTCTCGTCCATGCGTTCGTCGTTTGTTTGTATTTTTTCGCTCAAAATCGTTGGAAAAACGTAAAATTTCTCGATAAAATGAAAATATGTGTGTCCGATGTCTGTGTGTGATTGTGTATAAATGGTGTGTGTGTGTGTGTGTTTGTTTGTATCATTTAGTCGGCGACAGCGTAATCATCCGGGCCGAGTTCCTGTTTCATGGAAATTGAAATGGGCAACGCACCCATTGGCTTGAGCATATGTGCCGTGCGTCGATGTTCACGCAATTGATTGCGCCGACTAAACACCTGATGACAACTCGAACATGGCCAATCACGTTCAACAAATTGCGAACGTGCTTCAAGCTTCCGTTTTTTCGCTGCCGACGATGTCGTCAGTTCACTGAAGCTCACACTTTTCCTTTCGCTGATAAAATTCTTTGATTTGAGATTCAATTTAATTTCGAAGGTGTGCGCGGCCAATTTGTGTTTGCGCAATTGTTTCGGCGTTTCGAATGCCTTGCGACACTTGGGGCATTTCCATTTGGCCGATTCACTGCTGCTGGTGTTCATCTTCAACGGTGTCGACTGTGACTTTGGTGAGCTGCTCATTTTTTTCGGTGATTGTTGTGGTGGTGGTGGTGGTGACGGCGGTGCAGCGATGTAATTTCGCACATCAATGGCAGCCGCCGCAGCTGTTGCTGCTGCCACGGCCGCATCCGAATCAGCATCAAAGTGTATGATTGACGGTTCATTTGGATTGAGGCTATCGTTCAGCAAACTGCTATCAAAATCGAGTGAAGCAAGCGATGAATTTCGGTGGACGACATTGTGGTCGCGTAGTAAGCGTCGCGTTCGGAATGTTGAGAAGCATTTTTTGCATTGCCATCGCTCAAACTGTGCCGCATCGGCCGTAACATTTAGGTTATACTTCTTTTTCAGCAGATTTACACTGCTTTTGTCATGTTTATGCGTTGGTGGAATGGTCTTTTTGTCACTTTTCTTCTCGTTGGGCTTGTTATCGCTGACGGTAGCGATGGTGGCGGTGACGGCGGTGATTGTGCTGCTGGTGGTACTGGTGTTATTTCGATCGACTGCATGCTGTCTCCGATGGGAACGCAAATGTGCACGACGCAAAAATCGCTGCTCACATATCGTGCATTTCCAACGCATTTCGTCATCATGCTGCAGTGACGAATTATCGGCATCACTTTGTGTTGTATCCGGCCAATCCAATATGGCCGCCATCGGATCCATTGGATCCAATTCATATTCGACGGGTTCACTTTTAATGGTGGCCAACAAAAATTGCTCATCGAAACCATTTTGTGAATCGGTATTATGTGACGGTGTCTCATTGCGATGCGTATGCAAATGAATTCGTAATTGTAGCTCGCGCTCAAAACATTGCCCACACTCGTGACATTCTATTCTATCGTATACGTTGCTGAGTTCGCTGCTCGATTTTTCCAGTTTTGGTCGTTGTGCGCTGCTATCTTCGTCCGTAATGCTCATGCTAGATACTGAATCTGAACCAGATGCCGTCAGTCTTTGGTTTGTCTCATAATTGTGTAACATTTCGCGTAGCCGCTTATCCGATTCCAAATACGACAATCGAAATTCGTAAAAGGCGTAAATCTTTTCGGCGCACAATTTACACACATTGCCACCCAATTTATCGTCTGGCTCCGGCTATAAACAAAAAAAAAACGAAGAAAAAAAACAGTTCACCACCATCAAATTTAATTTCAGAAAAAAAAATAAACGAAAAATAAAAATATAATTGTGGAAAAATTTGTTTAACTCACCAAAATGTGAATGGTATCGGCTATCATATGCGCCAAAATCGTACTGGCTTTATATTCTTTGAATATGGGCACGATATTCGTTGCCGTATTCAGTGGAAACATACACGCACGACATTTTGTCGCATGCAATTCTTTGCTCATTGTGAGTGTGTGACTTCGTTTTTTTTTTGGGTGATTTTGGCGTTGCTAAATGCTCTTTTTCCAATCAAAAGTTCCGCATCCGATTGACAATTTGGATTTCTTATTTTTGATGGCTCTTTTTACCATGCGATGCCCGGATTTAAAAGAAAAAATCAAAATCAAAAATAATTTCGATTCAATTCACTGTGTGTTTGGGGATTTCAATCAACACAACATGGAACACGAACGATACAGCAATACTTTATGATATAGCACACAAAAACAATAATAAAACAGCGCTAAATCTGCAAATTCAATGACAGTTCGTCGGTTCAATCAAAACGAACGAAATGGATGCGTTCAATGACAACTGAAACATACATATATACACACACACAGTCTCGCTGACTCGATGAATTCGTTTCGATTCTCGTTTCTCTGTGTTGACAATGCAAATCGCATGGCACTGTTTTTCCAATGCGACAATGAAAATATCAATTGGTTCAACAGGTTCCGTTAAATTTTGCCTCAACAATGAATGTTTATCAGAATCACCTCATTCGAAACTGACTCAGCGATCGCAAGCGATGGACTGTCATGTATTGTCTCATTGTATTTGAAGTCAAATAAATTCAATCATTTTTGTACTGTTTTCCAACCTACATACATACACATACACAGACCGATTTTCAAAAGTAAAAAGCATTTTCAGTTGGAATACATTTATTTGATTTTTTTCGCGCGACGATGTCAGCCGATTCCACGAAATCTCTGACGGTTTTTCACCAAATTGATGAAGGCAGTAAGTATGAAGAAGACATTTCATTCGATTCAATTTGCATGACATTCTTTGCGTTGGCCACAAATGCATAACAACACACACAGAGCACGCAATGCGCTCGGCTGAAAACAACAACATTTAAACCGAAAACAATCGATTAAAACTCTAATTGGCCAAACCAAATCAGCAGATTTTTTTTTCTAAGAAAATTCCATGGGGCAATTCATTTGTTGTAGGCTTTGGTCAAATATTTTTGGTACGTAAAAACGGCGGCCTAGACGATGGAAAAACCTATGCCATGAAATCAATTCGATCAAATCCAGAAATTGAAGATCAACACAACATCTGTCGCAACGAGCTCAAAGTAAGATGACGTCTCCTGTTTCGATCAGATTTCATTTTCATGCCATTTAAAAAAAAAAAAAAAAAAAAATTGGAATAGATTTTTTGGTCGATGCAATTGAAGAACCATTTTCATTTTCACACTTTCTACTCAAACTGATTTAGGTGCTGAAGTTGGTATGGGGCATTCCATTCTTTGTTCAGCTGAAATATGCATTGAAAACACGACATCATTACCACATGGTAATGGATTATATGCCGGCCGGGAATTTGTTCAATTTTCTGCAATCCGGCACATTGACATTGGCCGAGACGACAATTTGCTGTGCGGAAATTGTGCTGGCCATTGAATATTTACACGAACAACGTTTCGTTTATCGCGATCTAAAGCTGGAGAATATTCTGATCTCTCGCAATAATCACATCGTTATTGCCGATTTTGGTTTGACGCGCAAAATTCAAGATGACGAACGGCTAACTGATGAGGCTGGAACAGTGGCTTATTTTGCACCAGGTAAGAGTAGTTTTGATTGTAATTGGGAAAAAAGCGACAATTTTTTTTCGGGTAAAACTCGGCATAATACCTATCAAATGATAATGGACTATCGGACTAAATATCGTACATATTTTAGTCGATTTGGCATCTTTGGATATTCTTTTAGAAATGCTTGACACAAACAAAGGTCACAGTTTTGAGGTGGATTGGTGGTCACTGGGTATCATTGCTTTCGAATTGCTTGTTGGACACACACCGTTCTTGGCATCAATAATGGAAGGTATAAGCGATCGGGTGCATCGTAATCGCATACAAAAAGAACAGCCGCGCCTCGATAAGCTACATGGTGTTAACCAAAATGTGAAAATTGTCACCGATTTTATCGAAAAGTTGCTGATCAAAGATCCGGAACAACGATTGGGTAAAAGAACCAACTAGTCACTTCATTTTGATGTGGATTTTCATTTTTTTTGTCTCGTTTTATGTTCATTCTCGATTTGTAGGAGCTGGCCAAACTGGGTACGAAGCTGTGAAGAAGCACGCATTCTTCAGGTAAGTATCAAAATCACACATTTTCTTAGTCAAGTCCATTCATTCTCTGTAAAAGTCATGAAATGTTTATTCAAAATTTGTCATTTGTCCAACACATTTGTTAACACAGCCAGCTGAATTGGCTCGCAGTCCAAATGAAAGTGTACGAGTGTCTCAAACGTAGTATACCAGTCCAAGATATCCCAATAGATTACGACCAACAATATGAAATTTCTCTTGAAGAACCACAGGAACAGCGACGAAAGCGTAAGTTTTCAATTAATCTTTTCATGGATTTTTTTTTTTCGTTCGGAGTTTGACTCGAGTTCGAAATAAACTGAATATTTAAATAGTTTGAATTATTTGAAGAAGAAACATTTCATTCAACCAAACTTCCTCTCTACAAGAAATCATTCATTGCAATCTTTTGTGTAGAATTCTATTACATTGCACCAGAGTTGCAACGACAGCCAACAAAGGAATGGTTCTATGGGTTTACCGAAGAAGATCTGAACGCACTACCTGGACCAATTCCGTTGCCACCACCAGTATATGACATTCAACTGTCATCAGATTTGTTCATACGGACAACAACACCAGCCGAAACAATCAAAAAGATAATTCTGTCGAAAAAGGTGGTCAGCTTCAGGGAGGAAGAAAATACAAGTCCGACCAGAACAGAGCAACAAAATGGCGATTACAGATACAGCCCATATCCAACAAATACCGACTCCGCACTACGACGAAGCGAACGAATGGCATCCAAACGAACCAAACGTTCCTATTCATTTTGCTGCTAAGATATTACAAGGCCAAACCTACTTGATTATTATCAATCGAGAAGGTTACCATTATTATTAGGTATCAAAAATTACTGTATCAACTACCGTATTTAGTATATTGAACAGACCATTTTTTTCCATTGAATCCTTTTTGAAAAGGGCATACACATTCCTCATCCGTATTTATGTCATACTCATTACATCCATATGAAATGGATCGTAATCATACTTATAAATATATACGTTAAATTTGTTGTAAACAAACATTTTTTCTTATTGTGATTTCAATAAAAACCATTGAAAAAAGAAAAAGAAAAAATATTCAATTTGAAATTTTAAAAAGATGTGAATTTCAAACAATAAGTTGTCAAGACAAGAAAAAATATGTGCTCAATCAAATATCGCATGTGCATGAATTTGAAATGTGGTCAAAAAAATGCGCGTAACGTGCGTTCAATGCGGTGCTATTGCAGTGCATTGGTCGTGTGAACCAGCCCATGATGATAAAGAAAGAGAGTATGAATACATGATTTGACAGGCATTAACGAGAGCAAACACCACGCACACACATTATAGTTGTATGCACGAAAACGACAGAGATTAAGTACTTTGTGCATAAAACACACAGAAAGCAAAATCCCGAGAAAAAAATACGAAGGAATTTCAACCGTACGATTGTGATTATTCGAAAATAAATAAACAAAATCAACAATTAATCTGATTGCAACGCATTTGAAATAAAACCAATCAAGCAATCAGCAGAATCTCCAAATTGTTTATGAATTTTGGCGGTTGTTGTTTATTTTTCGGGTTTTGTGTATTGTATTGTGTATAGTCTCGTTTTCGTGTTAGTCGTAAAATCAACGCGCAAAAACATTTGAATGCTACGCATTTCATGTGGTTGCCCATTGGCATTACATTGGTGCGACTGAGAATAAAATTCACACACATACTGTCGAGTTAAACACACACACACGCACACAAACGTTTGCTGGTGTGTGCAAAAATCATCAAAACAACAAACCATTTGTACGTGTTTATATGTGGTTTTGTGCACGAAGTGAGAAGAAGATGTGAATTTTTACGGCTGCAAACACTAAAAAAACAATATATGATGACATTTTCGATAAATTAGTTGAAATTCCAATAAAAATTAGTGGAACATTTTTTTTTCCAAAGTCAAAAATATTTTGAAACATCCATCGTCACAACGCCAATTTCGGGAAAAGTGGAACAAAAGAAAAATTGTCGCAGATTTAGATTTTACCAAGTAACAGCATCAGCAGGATAGAGAAAAAAAAAGAAAGGTTAAATCTGAAACGCGTAAAAAAAAAAACACACCACAACGATGTATCACATGCAGCATTTTGGAAAGCGAAAGTTCGTTGGAGTACAAACGAGCCCATCGGATTTTTATGCATCGCCAAAGAATCAAAGGTTGCGACCGTGTCGTGAAATTTCCCTCACCGAAGACGATGTGCCCGTTCGGAAATTGTTCTTTTCCATGCCTACAGCTGATGTAAGTTGACGACCCACATTGCACCTATTTCACTATCTTTATTTTTCATCCTCATTTGTTACAATTCGATTCCGCTTCCGATAAACAAAATTCATTACGTACATTCGTATCGTGTGAATTGCATAAGATTGTCATATTCCGAGCACCAATTTTTGATAGCGACAGAGAGAGAGAGAGAGAGAGAGAGAGAGAGAGAGAGAGAGAGAGAGAGAGAGAGAGAAAGGGAGAGCGTATATCAACATTTGGTAAACAAAGGCAAAATTATGCCATTGATAAAAATATCACACACAAGTAACCCATAGTAATCATTGTGTAATTACGTATGAAATAATTTGTGATGTTTTTTTTCTCATCACCTTCTTCTTCTTCTTCTTCTTCTACTGGTCTTTTGTTTTCATGTAGATCACGCAAAAATTGCTGATGCGACATTTCGCACTGTTTGGCCCGATCGATACCTTCACACTGCATCTCAAGCTGAGCTATTGCTATGGATTCATCCAATTCAAAAGTTTGTACAGTGCAACGGCCGCGCTACGAAGCCAACATCACTATGTGGCCGGATATCGAATCAAAGTGAGCATGGCGGATACATGGCATCAGCCCGTTACAACCACCGATGATGTTGGCACACAAAACGATGAAGCCGTCGAACGGGAATCATCAAGCCAGGTGGATAATCAATTGCTGCATATTCTTGATTTGAACGACGACTGCCTGTTTGATATATTCAATATGTTGAACTGCATCGATTTGAGCTCCGTGGATCAGACGTGCATGCGTTTCCAACGGGTGGCCGGTGATGTGTTTGGTAAAAAACACACCGCCATCAATTTAACCATGACCGAACTGCCCGGCTACAGTAATGTTGGTGTTAGCCAATTGACACTGTTTCAAATTCGCAACCTTATCATTGGCTATGGAGCACATATTCAGAAATTGCAAGTAGCCGCATTATCATTCAAACAAGAGAATCGATACCGCGTTCTGGATTTAATCATCCGCAGTTGCACTGGCCTTAAATCACTCTGTTTGACCGGGTTCTATATTAAGGTAAGGTGGAGACTTTCAAACGATAGAGACTTTCAGACAGTTAGGGAACTAAATTTGAAGTATAAATGTGAGGGAATTGGAATGGTGCTGAATTGAGCTATAGGACATTCCTTTGATATGAATTCAATGATATTAAAAAATTACCCAAATTTATCATTGCTCAATGGAAATTGCAGTCTCAATCAAGGTCGATTCGATTTCAATATTTGACAACTTCCTCTAATTTTCTTCGCTCATTTTGTTCATCAGTTTTGTTTCCGCAAATTTGTCCCCTTTTACCAAAGAGATTTTCAGTAATTCATTCAGCTAAATCAGTTATCTACTAGTTTTTTTTTTGATGAAATAATAGTTAATTACGTACCTAAAATGGTTCAGTGCTCCACTGAATCACGAGCCATAACAATTTTAATTAAATGATTGAGTCATATGATCAGTGATCATTTGACACACTTTGATGGCACCAATGAATGGTCGTGCAAATGAGTGAGCATTATTTTTATTGCGTTTGTTATTATTGTCGATTTTATCACATGGCGGAACCGGTCAAAATGCATCAATCAAATGTTTATTGTAGACATTCGGCATTATGACTCTATGAAATTTATTGGCAATATTGCCAAATACATTGACTGAACTATCTCAGTTGACGTCAAAATTACTCAGTCGGCATTTTGGCGTCTTTTCCTTGAAAACAGAGACCAATTCGAGTGAAAACTCAATTCAAGCAGCTCATTCAAATTCAATTCATTTTTATATAGGAAAAAACGATTATTTTATTTGAAAAAAAAAAATCATTTCTTAAAGTACATGAGTAAATGTTCTATTGAAACAGAAAAATGATTAATTGTCCAAGTAGATCCAAGTAAAAAAAAATTGTCTAACCTCATTATTTCCTTTTTCTCACACTCCGCACAATAACAACAAAAATCCATAGGAAAATCTGTACCGTGTCAACAATACGTTCTTCTCAAACTTGGAGGAGTTGTCGTTCAGCTTGTGTGAGTTGAATGACAGTATTCGTCGTGTGTTTTTGGAATGTCACCAGCTGCGCAAATTGACGATTCAATCGGATTCGAATTTGACGGGATCGTGTTTGGCAATACAATTCGCACGATTGGAATCGATAACGTTGATCATGAATTCGGACATTGAAGTGCGGCATTTGTATCAATTCTTCAAGCTCAATCGACAATTGAAATCGGTGAAAATTATCCATTGCGGTGGTTGTATCTTCGATGAGATCTTTCCACGGATTGCGTCCAATTTACCGGTATTGGAATCGCTCATCATTGAAGTGGATTATTTCCAGAATTTCGTAAAAAATATCATGGCTTTGCTGCGTTTGGAGAATCTGCGTGAATTGCAGTTGAATTGTAGTATGTATTCCATAGCATCGTTTGTTGAGGCACTTGCCGCCAAAGGTAAAATCGAAGTGCTTCACCTATCCGACGGATTGCTCAATGACAATCTGATCGATGCGATTGCCAAGTGCAAAAAGCTAACATCGCTGAAATTATGCTCGATGCCATCGGTGCATAATCGCTTTTTGGCCGAATTGGCCAAGAATTTGCCTGAACTCAACGATTTTCACATTTCCAAATGTCAAACACTGAACTCAACCGGACTGGTACAGTTTGCCACACTAACACCGAAATTGAAAACGTTACACATTAATAATTCCAGTGTGGAAATCGATGATAAATTCTATCAGAGTCTGGCCACCGTGTACAAACAACGTGGCACACGAATCACCATCAGTCTTGGCAAAATGACCGTCAAAATTACACCCGAAGTTTTCAAGGAATGCAAACCGTATATCAAACTCATCAAGTCCAACGATTATTTCCTCTACGACGTCTTTGGCGATGAAATGTCAGATATTACTACGGACGATGATGATGATACCGGTATGTATGATGATTGCTTTAACACTGATTTTCATTAGAAAACGTTCAATGCTCAAAATTCAACCAATTTCTTTTTTTCCTTTCCAGATTCCGACGATGACAATTGGAACGATTACGATAGCTATGGTGACATCTTTGATGATGACGAATATTCCGACTTGTTCGACTTCAATCCAAACCAGTGGAATTTTTTCATCGACTAAATTCAAACGAGCAAGCTGCTGATTTAGAACAAATTATCACTTTTTTTTCATTTTCAAACAGAAACAACCACAAAAAATCGTTGCGGCAACGCATTGATAGTGTGATAAATACATCGATAAATCGAGCTAAATCAATCAGTTCAAAATATGATATTCGGCTTTGTCATCGACAAACACTCTTCGTCAAAGCCATAATATTGTTCGTTCAACAGAAAAAAAGCAAAAAAAAAAAATTCATTCACTAAAAACACTCTGCGAAAGCGTATTTTGGAATTGTCGTTGATTTGTCGAATCGGGCGGCAATCGAACGAAAACCTTAGGGAATTTATTAATTTAGTACAAGACAAATTCAATTGTAAAATGGCTAAAGGAAAAAAATCGGAAAATTTATGCATTTCTGTTAATTTTCGCTCCAAATGACCGAACAGACACCGATTATTTTCTCTTATCAGTCAATCGACGATTGACAATTGATTCAATCGTTGATTTCTTCCTCATTTACCATTAACAACTTCCTCATTTATTTCTAGAAAAAAAAACTATTCAACTTAAAAAAAAAAAAACGTAACTCATTTAGTATTGTAAAATCAGCAAAATTGTTCAAAAAATTGTGTGTCAGTTTGATCGTTTCCATTCGAATCGATCGACCTTTATTTAGACTAAGACTCCCCTTTTTTCCGTTTAAATCTGTTAGTTGTGTCAAATAATGTGTTGAATCGCTTTGTTGGCGCTGTCAGTATTTAGTTATTAAGTTATCAATTTGTCGAGCGCAGTTGAACGCAACCCCATCAAGCGTGTAACTGGATTCTCGCTCAATGACGTAAAGCCTTTGGCTTCAAGAAAATATCAACAATTATTGTTTTATAATTACTCCGTTCTATAATTCTTCGTTATTTCAAACTATTAACCATGTCGAAAATTTAAGTTAGGTTAACCGTTAAAAACACACCTCACAAATGAACCATTCGAATTGAAATAAATATGTTTGCGGCCGTTATTCAATGCCAATTTCAAAATGCGCATCAAATTGTTTAGTGGATTTTCTCAGGATCACAAATAAAAAATTGTTTCATTCAACACTTTGAAGAAGAAGAAAAATACCTATGAAAAACTTCAAAAGAGAAAAAAAAACAACCAATTGTGTATTGAAAAAGATTAAGGCTTAATAAAAAAAAAACCTTCTGGCAGGAATCTCCTACGACATAGTTCGAAATGAATCAAATTTGGAGTCTATATCATGTAAAGTCTATCAGTTATTGAAAGAGAGAAAAGCAAAAAAATATGATCGCTTCAGAAAAATTCAAATTTCGCTCCAGAAAAAAAAAAACAAAAATCAACCTCAAACAATTTAGAATTGTAAAAATTTAAGTTTTCAAATTTGATTTTTATAATGCATTAGTAAAAAAAAAGGTTTTAGAAATAAAAACCCTTCTTATTACAACAAAAACAACAATTAAAACTGTCAAAGACGAGCGAAATGTGATGGAAATCGGGTTTTGTCTATTCTCAGTTGAATTCGATTTGCGGTAGCATTTCGTTCGAAATTTGTTTTCTGTTAAGTTTTATTCTTAAATTCCTTTAAAAACAAATAGAAGCTCTACTATAATTTTCCGATAGTTCTTAATTGATTTATCGAAATCGGCTATCAATCCTGTCCCTCTCCAGAAAAATGCAAACATTTTGAATAAAGACAACAAAAAAACAATTTAAGTTTTCGTAAAAAGCACGTTTTTATTCAATTTTTTTTCTTGGATAATCTCTTTTCAACTAGAAAGCCTTTGCTTGGACTTTTATACTTGAAAAGAGGCAGATTAGGCGAAAATTCACTGTTGTGATTGAGATTCGCAATGGGAAAAAAGTACGAATTTGAAGATGTGTAAAGCGGCGATTAGGTAAAGGACCGTAATAAAAACCTAGAACCGAGTATCGAGTATATTGGAATAGTTTTGATGATAGAGCGGCATTAAAGGTGAATACAAACGACGTTCGTTCGTTCGTTCTTTCTCTTTCGCATAGCACCGAAGCCAAGGGAAAAATATATCGCGCGAGAGATACCCGTAATCGTTTGAATATGATCAGAAAAATGTGAATACAGCAAAGTCGGTGTTCTTTTTTTTGCTTTCTGTCTATCGCCTTAGACGCATTTCGTATACAAGCCAAAGATATTGCTTCTTATTATTTTGCGATTTTTTTTTCTGACGTCGCTGTTTTTTGCTCGTTCATTTCTTATGGTGATTTTTCAATTTCTCTGCATTGTGACCGCTTGAGTTTGAACGCGCGAGCGCGAGACCGCGTGCGCTCACTTCGTATAGTCCACTTCTAATTTCCAATCCAATTCCTTCGGTGTGTGTTTGTGGTGGTGTTTTTTTCGATTCCTTCGTCTTTTTCATAGCCGATAATCTTGTGACGTGCTCGATCGTACACTATGCGTACGCAAACTGGTTCTGATCAGATGCCGATATGGTAATAAATAATAGGTGGCATATATGTATTGTATGCGCAATGCACTTGAGTGTGCCGGGCCTTATTTCGTTCAGATTGTCGTCGTGGTCGTCGTCGTTGGACGTGCTGCCAATTTTGCAAAGAGTGGTTTAGAGAGAATCGATCGGCTGGATCGCGCGCGAGAGCGGCAAAAACGTTAGCATGAAAAGACAACGACATCGACAACGACAGCAAATAAACAAGAAATTAAACAAAACAAAACAACCATAAAATATGTAAAAGGGAAAAGCGAATTGATTCGATAAAAATGCAATGGCGAGCCATCTCACTCGTCGAAGCACGGCAAGAGATGGGTTGCTCTGTGCGCACACAACGCAAAAATGTAGAAAATCTGCGGCAGCAAAATGCACACAGAGTGAGTCAAGATGATTGCTTTCGGTGTGTATCCAGTAGTTGGTAATGATCAAACATTTTGCTCTCCTGTAATAATACAATGTAAAGCTGGAGCGATATGCGGACCGTTCGCGCGCGCGCACACGCGCACGCTCACCTCGTTCACTCTTTCTCTCGCGATTTCTGGTTGTCATCGTATATTTTTGTTGGAAAACCGTGTGTTGCTCTCCCTCTCCCTCTTTCTCCCTCTCTCTCCATCTCGCTCTCTCTCCTCTCCCTTTTTCATTCACTCACTTGTGCATCGTTGAGCGCATGTATCGATCTTTTTCATTTTGTCGTTTCGCTTTGCACACGCTACGATTTTATTTATTTATGCACTTTAATTTGATTACATTGCCACAGTATTTGAATTGTCCCTTATCTGCCCGTGTATATTGTTGTTCACCGTGATTTCTTTGCACCGTACGTTGTGTGTACGCTTTGGCCGCGCTCGATCAGCCGTGGCACGGTTCTCGATTACACCGAATGAAATATTCAAGTGCAAGCTATGTCTTTTATACCATGCCGGCATAACATAAATATATTTGAATGACATCACAAATACATCGGCTACGTGTCTCTAATTCGCCGAACACTTAATAGATCGTGTGTGCGTATTTAATATGGCATCGATTCCATGGATTGTTTCTGGTGTTTGCTTTTTTTTCTCTTCCTTGCACCTTTTTTTAAAAACCATGTGAACGGGAGAGAGAGAGAGAGAGAGAATCGCAACAACAACACTCGATTCCAATAGCCATTTGTGATGATTTATAACGACAAGCTGTCGCTACTTGCACCACGGAAGCACACTTTTATCGAGAAATCTGCCACTTCCCATTTACAAAAACATCTAATTATTTTTGCAATGCAATGCATTTTTCTCGCTCCACGTATGCAACATTCAACGCCGTTTTTACTTATTAGCACTTCATGATGTTGATTGCCTACAAATATTGAATATATATTTAAATATTGAAAATACGATGAGACGATTATTCCTTCACACAGATTTTTGATACAATTTTTTTTTTAAAGCCACCGAAGCGACGCTGAAGTCAAATCGTTTTTTCGATTTTATTACTATGAATCATCGACATATGAACGAAAGCTTCCGATCGGGAGATACTCAAGGTATATTGGAGTATGAAACTCCATGACGATTATAGATTCTTTAATTCTATTTTTGAACCTAAAAGTTTTTTTTTCAGATTTTTTCGATTTTGCTGGATTTTCCCTAGTCGCTACTATGTGAATTATTTGTTTAAATTCTACTTTATCCGAATTTATTCTACTAATTGATGAATAAATAATCTTTTTTACCACATTTAACTACTTAAAAATATAAAAAGAGATGCCTCCTTCGGTCTATTTTGGTCTATTTTGATAAATTTTTCATCATTGTGACTAAGTTTATTATCATTAAATGACTAAATTTCAATAAAAACGTGTAAAAATGGGTTTGAAATGAAAATCTCCCATCGAATTGACTATAATCCGTGATTTCTCGTTCGATTTTATTGAATTTAAGTCGCATTTGCACTCGCAACGACAAAGCAACGGCGTAAAACGACGCAATTTCCCAATTTTATCACCTTTATAACAATAATGACAATGGTTAAATGGGCCGTAAAAGTCATGACTATTTGAAAAATGTCTTGCCACCGCCGTCGATGCCAATGAAATAGACAAAGCGGCGCATTTGCAACTGAATTTCCGGTGTTGTTTGCTGCTGCTGCGATTTTGCTTTGACTTCAACACAAAGAAGCGAACGAAAAAAAAGAGAAATACTTGCATACAGAAGAATGGTCATTGAGCGCAGCAGAAATTCGAAGAGATTGTGTGTTGTTCAAAAGGCCCGCGTACGCTCGCTCGTTCGCGATCATTTAACGAATCGAACAAATTATGCAAATCCGAAAACATAATATATTTGATTTGTGAGGCAAGTGTCAAAATATTTTCAATTTGTTTCAATGGGCCTTTTGAATAAAACGAACAGAAAAAAAATACGTATAAAAAAGCAATGAAAAATCGGGTAGAAAACGGCAGCAGCCGGGCTGTGTGATTGCAATTGTTGTATTGTTGAAAAAGCATGTAAAAAGCGTTTCTCGTAAGTAACATAAAGAATGTTTTGGCAAATGTTTGGTGGTTGCGACAATGCATCAACAAAGGAAGGAGCAAAAAACCATTCCTTTGCACTTCATGATGTCTACGTTTGGTCAGTCGGTGGCGGCAACAGCGGAATATATGAGACACATTTTGACTTTGTCTATTTTTGTGAAAGAATATATTCGAATGTGCTCATCGGTGTGTGTGTGTGTGTGTGTCTGCATCATCATATCGATGTGGCTTTCGATAGGAGATGGACACAACAAACGGATAGGCATGCAACAAACTAGCTCTTAATCCAAAACCCAACCACGGGCTTTGCGAGATAATGCGAAATCAAATAAATATGCGACAAACAGCAAAGAGAGAAAAAAAACGAGGGGGAAAACGTGGTGAAGGAGAGAGAGAGAGAGAGAGAGGGAGTGATGAGAAGGAAAAAACGATGGAAAGCGCGCGCGGTCTCATCTAAATAAATTTAAATCTGTGCAGGGAGATCGCACTACCAGCACATATTCCGAATGCACGGCAAAAACACATAGCATCACATCTTTATGTGGTCGATCGGTCGTCGTTGTCGTCATCATCGTCGTTGTTGTTGCTACTGCGGCGGCGGTTCGTATGTAAAAGGGCATGTTTTTGTTGTTTTTTTTTTCTTGCTTCAGCTTGGATTTTTTTCCTCTATAGTATTGTTGTTGCTAGGAATATTGTGATATGGATTTCGTTCGACATAAAACACATAAACTGACTGCACTTTGAATATGCACACTGCTCTGTTCGGCTTTGCTCAAGCACTCTCTTTCTCCACTCTATTGAATGGAAGATGTCACATGAGCGCGCACGCGTGTATTGCTTTGCCAATACACCATCGCGCACAGCATACACACACACACACACCGAGCCAATAATCCAATGTTTATCCCAATTTCATCGAAACTCGCTCTCGTCGATCGGTCGTCGTCGTCGTCGCTGTCGTCGTCGCTGTCGTCGTAATACGCAGAAGAAGAGGAAAAGAAGAAGCTGCTGGTTGCTGCTTAGCCATTCATCGTATATCATCATGCAAAAAAGGCCATATATGATGCCACAACAGAAAATGTATCACCGGCCAATATTCCAAAACCATATCATTTATTATTCGGTCGGATATGGCAAGCGCGAGAGAGAAGAGTCTCTGTGTGTTGTGTGCCGGTCTCAGCCAAAGGACTTATGCGACAATTTTCAAAGGCAATATCCAATTCAACGGGAACAAATGTGTATGCGCGCACGCGCACGCGCTGTTGCGCTCGTTTCGTCTTTCGTGAGGCTCGCGCGATCCACTTTGAATTGGCTTCTGCTTGTTGCCGTTTTGTTTTGTTTCTGCACTTCGCCTCTGATCGGTTTGTGTTCTGTTCTGTTCTGTTCTGCTGCTGGTCTTCTGTTTATACTCTTTCTTCTGGTGTTCGCTGTGCCTGTTCCGCATGTGTATTTGGATACAATTTTGTGACAGATTTTATGTACGGCCCGAGAATGTTTACGTGTGCATAGACTTTTTCGTTTGTATTTTAATATACACAAAACTAAAAAGAATCGGACCGCATACACAAAATACGGCAAAAAAAAATAAAGCAAAATGCATAAATAAAAAGTAAAGCAACACAAACATAAAAAAAAACGACGAGGTAACGCAACACAAATCGACAGAGAGAAGAAAAAAGAATTACTAGCGACAGCTCTTTTGGGCTCGCTGCGTATTCTTTTTTTATATTTTATAATTAAGGATTTTTCTTTTTGACTTCTGGGAATTGAGCATTTTTCTACCCGTCGATGCCGCGCGAGCCGACCAAACTGCTTATTTATTTGTATTCCAATAAAAAAAATTTCTTTCGTTTGTTCGTTCGTTCGTTCGCTCGTTTCGCATTGCCGCTCTCATACTCCTGTTCCTTGTTGTGATGATAGCATACACACACACAAAAAAAAACGACTGAACCATACTTCTTCTGGTGTTTTCTGGCTTTTCGCACATTATCAAGTTCTTTGCATTTCCGCGGTGACGGTGACAACAACTCGATTTCGGAATTTATGCATTCAATTTTTTACGTTATACTCATATCTTCGACGAGTTTTGCATCTGATCAGACAGTGTTCGAACACTTCAGACATTGTTGGTTTTGATCACTTGGAACATTTGGTTATTGGCATCAAATTGGTTCTACCAGTTTGCTGTCTGGTTTCATTTTCTACTTTGATTGCATTTTAATTCAGTAAAATTCTATTCTTCATTGAAGTCACTCTCATTTACTCTTTGCCTTGAAAATTAAAAGCTAACCTTACGCTTTCGACAAAATTTTTCGCTTTCGCGTCAAGTTTAAAATATTCTTTTATTAAATTGAAATTCATGTTTCATCTCTTAATAATTTTCAATCGAATCAGTGATTAAAAATACCTTTGTAGTTCACGACGTGAACTAATTTTCAATAAAATTCGAGGAAAACATTCAAAGCTTCATAAAATGTTGATGTTCTTTCCCAAATGTGTGCTCTTGTTCAAATGAATCATTCAAATGCAAAGAAAAAGTTTTGTTTGAACAGTTGAACGTGCTCTTGTTTAAATAGGAAGAATTAGTACCAAAACAAGTAAAAAATCAAATAAAAGACTCATTTCCAGCTTAAAACGTTTGAACGATCAATTCGATTTGGTTCACAAAGTTCCGAATTCTCACGAAAAATTCTCTTTAAAAAAAAATTCCTGCATTTTCGGTACGTTTCAGTCCAATTTCGTCAATTGCGGAAATCAAAAGTGACCAAGCCACCTGGGCCATGTTCAAATTTTGTTCATTTGCGGTGTAAACAAACTAGGTACAAGCAATTAAATTTCGATAAAATTGTTCAACGATTTTAGGAATCATGATCCTTTTGGCGGCCAAAGCCAAATTCATCGAAGCCCCAAAAAACCGTGCGGAAAACGAAAAAGAAAGAGAGAAGGAGTTGAACAAGGTTATCGGCTTGTTTCATCGGCACGCAAATTTATCGTTTTATCAACCGAAAGAAATCAATAATAATTAGCTGAATGTGTTTTTCGTCGTTTTTTTTTCTCTTTCGTTCGGGAACGTCTTCTTAACCGCCAATTTGGTTCACAGCCAAAGAGGAGGGAAAGAAAATGCCATACAAACAAAAAATATGCATATGCAAAGGGACAGAGATATTCGTATTGCGATTCGCTCGATGATTGGGTCATTGAGCCTGAATGGCAGACGATGTCGACGATCGAATCGACGATCCCATCACATTTCCACATTTCATGCGGGTTTCTTTTGTGATGGACAAAAAGACAAAAACACCAATTTGGACATACAAAGTGGCGACACGTAAATGATTTGTTCGATGGAAAATGGACGGACAAAACGCCACTGAAACACAAAGAAATTTCAATCGCATGGAGATTATGTTGTCATATTAATTAAGCATGGAAATTTGGGTAAAAAGCAGGAAAACATACAACAAATCGCCACAAATTCAGCCGTTTTAATGTCAGAAGATTAAAAAATCTTGGTCAAGTCTAAGTAAAATAAAAAACTTTTTAAGTTAAAAAAAAACAGTTTTTTGTTTTTTTTCTCCTTTGGTTTATTAAATTTCCATAATGTTTCATTCACAGGATTTGATCAATGGACAAATTCTTCCGAATCGTTTTCTCTGTATGAATCAATTTACGACTTTCTTTTTACTCACTCTACACTAAAAAAAAGAGAGAGATTAAGAGTCCATTATGGATCATCCATACAAAAATCTCTACCTCATTTCTCCGACAACAAAAAAATCACCTTAAATCTGGTCAATTGTCCAAAAAAAAACCTCCATAAACTTCCTTCAAGACCTGCATGCCACACTGAAGAAACAACAAAAATAAATAAAACAACGGAGTAATTGAAACATTGAAATCGATCTTCGTCGTCATCATTACATTCGTGTATAAATACCATGTTTGTAAAATGTCTATCAATTGGTGGATACCAAGAGAGAGAGAGAGAGAGAGAGAGAGAGAGAGAGAGAGAGAGAGAGAGACATACCTGTACACAGACGTACCAGCCGTGCGTCAAATGAATTTATTGAGATGGAGTCGACTGATAAAGTCTGAAATTGATGAGAGATGAAAGGTATATCATGTTTGTATCGATCACTGCAAGGGAGAGGGAGAGTCGTTGGGTCGTCGCAGAACAATTGCATTCACAAAGTGAATATTTGTTGTGTTTTGGGAGACGCGGAAAAGCAAACAGACAGTCGAACATGGAGTAAAGCAAGAAGAAAGAGAAAAAAAACTGCAGCCAAAACATACGAAGAAACAAATGATGCTGATGCAAATGCAGACGTAATTTGTGTGGAGTAACACGTTTCTTTTCTCGTCTCTTTTCCGAAACAGAAAAAAAAAACGTGTCCGAATGTGAACGTGCGCGCGCACACGGCTCAGAAGAGTACCGTCAGTTTTGCTATCAGTCAATCGTGTGGAGGCGGATTACTTGTTTTTCGCTGTTATTTTCTTGGATATGTTCTTGAGATTATGCTCAATGGTTTTTTCTTTCCTCTTCGGCGCTGTTGTTGTAATGTGACTCTTTTTTTTCTCTCTCCTTTCCATATGATGTTGTTGTGAGTGTATGTTTTTTTTTCTTCGTTATATTATTTTGATTGGGTGGTTCGTTGCTAATGTTCGTATTATTTTGATAAATGTTAATTGGACACGCCTTATTTTCTTATAAAGATGCATTCATAAAATATAATTATGCTTTTTATTATTACTAATAATAATATTAACGGAACGATGCCGAAATGAACGACGACGCGAGCGAGAGAAAGCGATACAGAGAGTGAGCAGAAGAAAGAAAAAAAAAGCAGAAGAACCGAAAAAGAAGAAGGCATCAAGTGAACGACGGCGACGAAACCACGAAAAATTGTATTTATTCTTAAAGCGAAGTGCATATTCTCTTTCTTTTTTTTTTACCTACAGCGCAAACAATCTACACCAAGAATCACAAATGTACAGATGAAAAAGAAGAAAAAACGAAAAGAAAGAGATTGCAAAGTTGCTGCATCGAATTTGCACAGTGCCGCGCATTTCATTGGAATCGTTTCGTTGGCCGAATGTGTTTGCATTACACGCCCGTGCTATACTTTTTTTCCTGCCAGATATGTACACACATCTCTCTTTCTATATTTCAATCGCATATATGAACCGAGACGAGGCATCTCGATGCCGATGGTTTTTCTTTTATCGCTGATTTTTTATTATTTGTTTTTATTAAGTTGCCCGTATGCAAAGGCTCCGGCTCAAAATCATGATTTGTTTTTTTTTTCGTCTTTTAAATTCTGAATGTGTGTGTGTATTTGAACGTCGTTCAAATGGTGCCGTCTGGTTTTGATGTTGCTGTTGCTGCTGCTGCTACGGCTGCGTGTGTCTTCCTCGTATTTATTTCGCTCTCTCGCCCAAGTGATCTTTTTCATATCATTTTTTTGCATCTATCGGCGTTAATGTTAGATTTGATTTGTACAAACGTTCGCGAAACAAGCACAACCAAAGTCAATGCGACCGAATGCACATTTGCATTTATCGATCAACCGGGTTACATCTCTGTTTAATTTTGGCCCGCAAGGAATTCATGCGCACATAAATACTCAAAGCGCCCATCCAATTCTGAAATCACTTGCCGTTGCTCATTTCAATCAGTTTTCCAGTGTGAGCGGACCAGTAATGCATCGAAATTCTCTTCGATTACTTTCTTTTTGCCCAGAATTCTGAATCAGACTCGAGGCTGCACCAGAAATATCAAGAAACACTTGTGAAATCAATTTGGATGGAAAGGTTCACTGGAAAATTTCGTTGAGATTTTCTTAGAGATGTCCTGTTTGTGGTTAGCCTTAGATGAGAAGTCACAAAAGGGGCAAACAGATCAAGGGAAATTCAAATGAATACAACCGAAAAACTCATTTTTTTGTTGAGATTGTCCATTTTATTATTGTTCATGTTCTTTAAGATTTTTGTTGTTTGTCTCAACTTAAATATTACGAAAAAGAGAAGAAAAAATTACAGTAGATGCTGTGTGTCTGTGTGTTAAAAATGCCTAACTAAAATATAAGGATTTTGTGTGCCAATCGTCTCGATACAACGACAAATCTATTTATTTTGATGTTTTTTTTTTTGTAATTCTCTAACAACTAGCGTATAGAAATTGGATTAATTTGTGCGCGAATACGTGTGTACAATTGAGAGAAACAGAAAGAAAGAAACAAAAATTATGAAGAAAAAAGAAAACTCTAATGAGGAAAATATTACATAGTGGTCGGTCTCCATCTAAAATACCTAGGCGAAAGAAAATAAAAATTACATCTATTTCAACAATGAGGCAAACTCTAGATTGAGTCTAGTGACTCTATACTATACGTCAACGTTCAATTTAAGTACAAACTTTCTCTAACTTCAACTCGTTTAAGTACAGATTGTGTTTTTGTCGCTTTATTTATATAGACTGTGCCGTTTTTCTCTACTAATAATGCCAAAAACAAACAACTACAGCTTTTTGTCAGTTATTCACTAAGGGTTTCGAGCACTGAAACCGTCTTGTTTTTTAAACGTTAGCAAAAGGCTTCATAAACTTTAACATTGAAAAAGAACATAAATAATATCTCAATCAATTGATTTGTTAAACACTAAAATGGAAATCTAGATTAAAACGTACGTAATTATTTTTAACGGTTTTTGTTATGTATACGATTGTCTTTTGTAAATAAGATACAAGATTCAAGAATAACATTGTTTTTTTGCCTCATTTTTTGTTTTGTTTTGAATGCTCGGAAAATTTCATTTTCTCCAACACTCGACATAATATTGAATTTAATTCGAAGGAATACACACACGAAACGTCATTTTATTACTAAGATTATTGCTATGGAAATGTTTGAAATTTCGAGGAGTGTTTTATGTATGTGTGTGTCTTAGTCTATAATTTTTTTTTTATATTTTCAATGTGCTTCGGTCAAAATGCAGCATTTGAAGTTCAATAGTTGAACCAAAGGCCATTCGGAACACTCAAAGGCCATTTGCGCTGTTTTAAAACCTAGTTTGGATTGATGGAAGCCAATTGAACATGCAAAAAAAAGATTATCAACGCAATGTGGAAATTATCTTTTTACATAGCTAAATCGAACTATTTTACATCTTTTTTTCTTGTTAACATTTGTTTTTCATTGTTTTTTGTCAACTTCTTCGACATTTCATGATTTTCATTGCTTGTAAAATTGTTCAATTTTTTGAAGAAAAAAAAAAATTAAATAAAGTATGTATCCCATGTTTTCAATAAATGTTTTTCATTTGGGGAAACGACGAAATGGGTTTGATATGCGCTATGATTGTATCTTGAGTAAAATTGGTCGATTTGGTCATGATAACTGAATGTCAGGACTCATCGTTCATGAGTATTTCATATGTCCACTGTATTTAAAGAAAACAAAACCAAACAAAAAAAAAACAACCTTCTTTCGATCCAAAATTGAAACTGAAAAAATAGTGAACATCGTTCATCGAAAATGCCCTAATGTCACCCATCTCTTGTTGATGCTGTTTGTTCCCGTTCTTTAGTTGCTGTAGCATGTTTTCCGAACGCCGGCCAGAATGTTGCTGAATTCGTCTTCTTTCATGGACTCGTTTTGCACATAAATCTCGGTGCCGCCGAGCACGGTTTGTGGTGGTGGTTGTGCTTGTGACAGTGGAACAGTGGCGGCAACAGCGGTCGGTATACAATTGTTGGCTAAATTATGGGCTGCAATTAAAAATGTCAATAATAATCTTTTAAAATTTTCGGTTAATATTTTCTCACTGTTCACGGCCCAATCAAATTGTGAGTGTGAATAAATTTGGTAAATAATTTAGGTTACCTGTTGTGACTGTGGTGGTAGTTGTGGTGCCGGGTACACTTGAGTTTGGATGATAATACAAATGATAGTATTCCTGTGGCGCTATTGTGGCCGGATGATGTGGTGACGAGAGAACATGCGGTGGCAATGGATTCGATGCCAATTGATGATTATGATATAATGAATTTGGATGTGGATGCCCATGATATGCACTGTTCGAATCATATTCATTGAAATTATGATTTGTATCGGGGTATTTAAAGTATTTTTCAAATTCACGTGAATCCACCTCGTCGACCATGTGCTGTGGATGGATACCTTGTCCGGTGTTTGCATTTGATGTTGGCGACTGTGTCTGGTGATAGTTTATATAATCTTTGTACTGCACTGTAAATGGCGGAGATGCATAGGTGGGCATCGGTGCGGTTACCGTTACCGAATCATAATTCCCATAGCCATCGATGGACAAACCATTTTGTGATGTTTCCGCATTTATTATGACATTATTATTCTCTTTTGCCATTAAGGCACCTGAGCTACTGCTGTTCGAACCACTGTTGGTCGAATTCATGCGCGACGTATTGTTGTTGAACGCACTGTTGGTGCCATGATCCAAATGATGATTGGGCGTATAGCTTAAATTTGACATGGATGTCGCCGATACGGTTTGCGACGGTGCAGACGTACCCAAGTTTTGATGATCTTGTGATGTTGCCAACGGCGGAAAGTATGTTCCACGCACAACATTTCCCTGATCAAGTATTCCACGATTCGTACACGTGACATACATCCCCTTGCCCGCCGCAATTGTTGTCGACGATGACAGTGATGCCGATAGCGTTGATGTGGCCGCCGAATTTCGCTTTTCATTACTACTGTTCGGCGTTAGACTGCCCACCGACGACATTCCGGAATTGTCGTAAATTCTGGAATGAAATGTGATTTTGGGGAGGAAGAGAGAAAAGATTGGACAAATGAATATTTTTGATACTTCAAATCGATAATTAAAATAGATTTTCAACTGAATCCAGTTATTTAATGATCCACGATGACAATTTTAAAAGCAAAATTATTTATAACAAAAATTCGAAGAAAAAACGAGCTTTATCCTTGAGAGTTATTCAATTCTTCATTCGATTACAGACTGATTTCAGACTGATTTCTCCCGACTGGGAAGTATTTTTTTTTGTCAAGCAAAAACACATCGAATGAAAAACGCAAAGAAAAAAATTGAATAGCAGATAAAATTCCGTGCAAGATTAATAAATCGGAATTAAAATGCGCACATTGTAAAAGGTGATTGACTTAAATGATATTTATTTTATTTGTTCTTTTTTTTTGCTTTTGCTTTCATAACGAACAAATCGATTTTCGAACAAATACAAAACACACTGATCACTTACCGATATGATCGTGAATTGTTTGATTGTGTTTTGTTGTCAGTGGTGCTGCTGCTATTGTTCAATTGGTTACTGTTTGCACTGCCGTAACTGTTATACTCTCGTTTGATGATGTGATGTTCAATGGAATCCATATCGAATGTGTTCATATTTCGATTGCTGTTGCCGCTGTTACCACTGCCACTGTACGCATATGAGTTTGGTGTTGATGCGCCCGATTTTTCCGATTTGATATGCCCATTGTAGTCCATAAAAGAGATTTTTTGCTTGTCATTCGATAAGCTATTACCGTAATTCTCTTTTTCCAATTCCAATGGACTCATTTCTGGTGTTGGTAGTGATGATGTGACGGCGGCTACATCATCTTGATGCTGCTTACCACCGCCGCCACCGCGTGACATATTACCCGTGTTACCATTGCCATTAACTGCATTCAATTTGCGATTACGTGAATTGGGTGCCACAACCTGTGACGGATCGGGACTGTGCGGATTTGGGCTGGATTCAGGCGTGTGCAACGCATTACTTGTGCCATAATACAGTTGCGAATTGTATGGACTCATTCGATCGACGCCACTCATGTGATCACCAAAATCGGGCGATGGATGATCAGAGAGATTCTGCAATGACAAAAATACACAAATCATTTTAACAATCATCATGCTTTTCTCTGACTTTTTCTATTTTCTATTGAAATTCAATGTTATTCAGACACAAAATCGATTTTTCGCCAAACTCATTTCGAGTGATCAAATCAATTTTTTTTAATGAAAATACACAATAAAAAGAAAGGAATTTAGATACAGAAAACGATTTTAAGATCTAAAGGTTTTCTAAAGGTGCCAACTTCGTCGAAAAAACAATGAACTCAATGGTCCGATTTACTTACATTTTGTGGAGCGGATGATTGATTGTTGATGGTGGTCGGATTCGCAGTACCGGCACCAGTTCGGGATTTCGTGTGCTTTCGACGACGTGGCCGATACTTATAGTTAGGATGTTCGGTCATGTGGATCACCCGAAGCCGTTCAGCCTCTTCAACGTATGGACGACGATCTTGTGGTGTTAATGAACGCCATTTCTTTCCTGGAAATTGACCAGAGCAAAAAAAGCAATGAATTTTTATGGATTGTAGAGCGATATGAATAATACAATTCCACTGAAAACCATATTGTGTGTCATCGTCGTAGTCTTTTTAGGCAAAAACTAACGTGAAGCCGATAAGCGTCAACCGCACATCGCAAACGAAGGAGAAAAAAAAACAAGCAAACAAAACGACTCATTGGAACACCGTGAAGTACGAAATCAAACAATTTTGGCGTGTGTTGTCGACATGTTTCATGTGTAATAAAAATTCAGATCGCATAAATGCACGCGCCGCCCAATAACGAAAAAAAAAATCGAATTCCAAAGTAATTGTTCGTTTTAATATTCATATTTGTTTACATTCGGCAACTGCGTACGACATAACAAGCACATTAATCATGGAAATTTCACGATTTTTTTTCTCGTACTGAATCGGCTTGAGAGACGCATATTGTTGCGGTTGGAAGTTCAGTTACATCGTTCTCTCTCTCTCTCTCTCTCTCTGTGTGTGTGTGTGTGTGCGTTTCAGAAATCGAATGAAGTAAAGGTAAAATATTGTCGCCACAAGTGAAGTCGGCCGCATTACGCACACACGAACTTTCGGCACGTGCATAAGATGATTCAAATTCAAGCGAATTGAAATGAAAGCGCGTCATTATTGAAAATTGCCGGTGATCAAAAGCGAACCGAGAGAATCCGCTCCGTGAGCAGAACGAACGAACGAACAACCGAACAGGGAAGAAATAAAAAAACTACGCTCACAAATTATAATCAAGCCGAAATGGAAATGATTCGATCTGCGTATTGATTCTGCAGGGTATTTAGCGTTGCATCAGTTGACCGTTGTTGATGTTTGTTTTTGTTGCTGCGAAGTTGCTGTTTTCTTCTTCTTCTCTTTGTAAATGCAAATTCAAGCAATAAATAAATAACTTGCGTTCAATCGACTCTATTGGACATTCAGTACACAAACAGAGGTTTTGAGAGAGAGGGAGATCGGCTGTGTTCTCACACAGTTCACATCGAAAGATTTACATGTTTTTCCGTGCAGCCTTAATCGTCGTCGCCGTCGTAGTCGTCCACCTCTTTTTGCCTTCACTCATTTAATAGGAACTATGTCGAAGCTTTTTCGCATCACATTACGTCGTCGATTTATATTTCTTTCGGTTGTTGCTGCTTTCGATTATATGGTGTGCGTGCATCGATCGAAAAATTTGATTGTTTTGTTCTTCGGTACATTCTTTTCAAGTGCGTTATTCTTCTGTTGAGGCACGAGCTCGCCACAAATATTCAATAGTTTGTTTTTTTTTTTTTTTTTCGATCTTTCTCTGCTCGGTTGACAAGAACGAAATGAAATGAAAAAAAAAAAACAAATCACAAACACAGTGACAAAGACTCGGCTTTGCAATTGCGCTCGATGCGTACAAATGTATCAATAAATGTGTGGCATGCACCGTGCATAGACATTTTTATGTGTCCAGCGACAGATTGATTTACAAACGTAATTAAATTGTGCTTCACGTTTGGAATAAATTTTCGATAGGTTTCGACGTTGCCCGCGTCGTCTTCGTTTGAATAAAAACCGATGAGGCAAAAGGGACCGTCTCTCTCTCTCTCTCTCTCTCCCCCTTCTCTCTCTCTCACTCTTACAGACACGCAAACAAAACGGGCCTGAGAGAATATCAGGTGAATTATTTCGAATTGATATGGCATTCGGTTGCGGTGCGTTTCTTTTCAAACTCTTCTTTCAATTCCGGACCGAAAGCAAATTTATTCTAATGAAATTCAATCAAACATTCATTACATAAACTGTTGTTCTGACTTGAGTGGCATTTGAACCGAAGAGCAGAACGGGAGAGATAGAGACAGAGAAACGATTTTTCTGTCATTTTGTTCAAATTAATGTCAGTTAATAATACTTTGTCACTTGGTTAATAATTATTCTGTACGTTAATTCGGGCGTTTGAACATTGGTAAACAAACAAATAGCGACATACGTTGGCTTTTCGAAACTATGAGCATTTTTTTCTGACTTCAATTAATTTTGTTTTGAATGCATTGAAAACATTGTCTGCTTATAATGTATCTATGCTTTCGGAGAAGGACGATTTGAAACAGTTGAACTCTCTTTTATGGATAAAGAACGAAACCTGTCTAAACAGAAGCCAATCAACTTCCTTGTGAGAATTTCCGAAAACCACTCCAATTCTATTAATAATTCTTTCAGCAAGCTCCATATGTGTTCTGAAGGCGAGGAGACATCAGCGAGGGGTCGTCGCTGAGAACTGACAGAAGAAGTGATTCAAAGAGTGAATTTGGTGTTGATTCCATAAACAAGAAGCAAATTATATTCAGCGATATCATAAATTGGAAAACATCAACTATTGAGTTAATGTCGCTGCAGTCTTCAATGTATACTGACACTGTTCATTAGGGTTTACAAACTTTTCGTGTTATAAAAACGTTAATTTTCTGTAGTATTTTTTTGACAGTTCAAAATACCGCAGAAATAACGATAAAAAAGGAAAAAAACGTTTTTTGGGCGTTATATAACGGGTCTGTAAAAAAAAACGTTTTTAGGAAACACTGAAAAAAATAACGCATTTTTAAACCCTACTGTTCATACATGGATCAGAAGTCGCATTTTATTTACTGCACTTATCGTCAAAAATGTGTTCTCTTGACAGTCTCAAGTAGATATTTTGTAAGTTCACCCTTGAGTTGGTTGGTTGGAACTTGGAAATAACAAAGTTTGTTTTGAATTTTTTTTTATGAAACGTTGAATTTTTCAATAGACAGACTATATAATTGGGGAAGACGTTGATAAAAATACTGTCTGATTTAATTTGAATGATCTAGCAACAATCTAATGTTCCAGTGTATATGTGTTGAGCAATTTTTTCTTTACTTCGTTTCAATCACGCTGTTCAGTTTGTTGTCCGATAATAACTAAAATTAGAACGAACGAAAGAGGTAGTGAAAAAAAGATAGTGGGTAGGTTTATAGTCGACGGTTCTGATGGTGACTGAGATGAAAAGTGAAACGGAAAGAGGGACATACTAAACGAAAATTAAAAACGAAAATCTTAAACGAATTTTAATGACACACTGTAATAAGCTACACACTATGAACCAAGCTCATTTGTAACCCACAAATTGTGCACACACACACACACACAATTATTATGATGAAAATGACTCAACGAAAAAAAAGTAATAATATTAAGCGGGAGAGGTAGAAAAAAAGCCAGTGAGTTAAGCTTGCCACGCACAACCACGTTCGCCAATTTTTTCGACGAGAACAACGAAAAAAAAAAAAGCAAACAAACACATAAAGTGAACCGGGGTCTTGTCGAGCTGAATGATTGAGACAACATATAATTAGACATTAATTACATACGATAAGCAGAAATTGTTTGCAGTGATTTCGTGTGTGCGGTGATTTTGTTTCGCGATTGCAAGTGTGGGGCGGCTGCGATTGCAGTGTGTGTGTGTCTTGCTCACTTCCAGGTGCATCGCAATGCAAAATCTTGTAATTGGAGCGACTCGTGAAAATACTTAAATCTTAGATTTGAGACATTGCACAGCCTTCGTTCAAACACACACTCACATCAACGTTTGATTAGATTGCTAAACTTTCTAATTGGTTTTGCGGCGCAACGAGGGCGAAATAATAATAATAATTGCAACAGCAGCAGCATCAGCGGCTGCAACAACAACAAAAAATCAATAAAAATGGCATTGAATCTCAAGATTTCGTCATCATCGAAAATTCAATGATTTTTATCGCAGTTTGAGAAAACGTCGGAATGAGCAATTCTAACTTATCTGCTATAATACTCTGGCTGACAGTGATTCAAAGAAAGAGAGAAGAGCTGAAACGATGGAGAAATTCTAATGAATATGCATGAACAACAACATTGATATTCAGTGGAAATTACTAGAACCTTTTAGTTCAGAGCATCATATTTACGGAAAATTGCGTACGAAGTTCATACTATGAACTCTCCCACCTCTCTCTCTCTCTCTCTCTTTCTCTCTCTCTCTCTCTCTCTCTCTCTCTTTCTCTCTGCCGATGTTTACAACCGTGCTGCGTGCTACCTTTTTTTTCGGTCAATCTTTTCTAATACACACACATTTCTTTCCTCATCTTCTTCGTTTTTTTTTCTTCTTCTAGAGCAAACAGCTTATTGATTGGTGCTTTTTTCAGTTTCATTTCATTTGCTTTTCAATCTTTCCTTACACTCTAATGGATACGTAAACATGGTGAATGTTTTTAATATATGTATTCGGTACGATTTAATAAATAGCATGTACAATTTGTATGCATACATGCAAAAAGGAACAGCACGGCATATTATGATAGGGTGGAACGTTCGGGCCATGATCACTGGAGCCGACAGTCTTGGATGTTTGATTTTTTACAGTTCAAATTAAATTTTCACAGTTTTACCTAAACTGTAAACTGTATATATATAACCATCCGATTTGAAGTATCAGATACAGTTGTAAGGTGCTTATCTATCTGATGATGCTTCAAAAATGATGGAAAATATATTGAATGCTCATAATTTATATACTCATGAAAAACGAAAGACGATGAAGTTCTGTGCTTGAATATTCGTTAAGTTTTCTCCATTTAAATAGAAGAATCTTTGTGAAATATATTTGAATGCAAAAATTAAACACCCTGAATGACAATTATTGCTCGAATCCCCATGTGCAGTCAATGAAAATGGGCTTTGGAGCAACGATTATCGCTGGTCTTAGCTCAATTAGATTTTTAAAAAAACATCCTTAGCCCTTGAGTGAAAACTCATATACCATCAGTGAAATTCAAAGCAAATGAACATTTTCAAACTTTTCTTCCTATCTTTGAAGCATCTCGATTCAATGCTCTTTTAACATTTCCAAAATTTGACTTCAAATTTTCAGTTTCAAATTGTCAGTTTTTAGCACTACATGAAATGTAGAGCTACTAATCTGCTTTTTTTTCTTAATTCT